AACTTCACAGAACTTCAACTCGATGAATATTTGAACTGTCTGACAGGGGTACGTTTTTAATAGCAGATGTCACACTTACTTTAATTTTTTTTGTCACTTATTACCGCATCCACCACGGCCAGCATGCAGTATTTCACTGTTTCAGAATCTTCGGCAAGAAGCAAACACGAAGGGAAGCTGCTGCAGCTCTCTCTTGGGCTGTACAGGACCCTCACCATGGTAGTACAATTCCAGTTGTAAGATTATTAAACTCGCAATTAAACTGTACTTGCTGTTGTCACATCATACATTACAATGATAGTTTAATATGTTTACATTACGGTGCATTGTGGGTTAAATATTGCTAGGCTACTAGGAGTGTTGCATTCACAGTCTACACTACGCTGTAGGAATTTTAAATTTTTTAAAATTAATTAATTAATTTTTTGCGTTTTCTGTGTTTCTGCCAGGACCACAGGCAGGGCCACTCGCAGGTTGCTTCTGGGCCGCATGTGGCCCGCGGGCCGCCATTTGAATAGGCTTGGCTTAGACCCAGACAGAGGTCTAGGTTTTTATTTTTTTTTTTTTTTAAAGCTATCGCAGTTATTACTATCGGTATATCCTGGTTATTTCCCACCGCTGCACATGTCAATCAATAGTATTCCTTACTCCCATTCACCTCAAGTTAAACTTCGTACCTGACCTCATTTTTTGCCTCTCATGATTATTCCCCCTTTAATCGCTACAAGCTGGTGAATTTGACCTTTTCTTCTATGACTGTGAAGCCCTGCAGCGCCTTTGTCTGTAGCTGTAGTGGAATGAATTCAATTGTTTTTTAAATTTTGTGTTGTGCACTCACTGGTCTTCGTTGCGAAACACCATCCAGATGATGCTGACACCAATGCAGAGGGCCGACAGCAGCAGCATGCGGATCTGCGGCCGCTTGTGCAGGTACGGCAGGTTGTTCTCCGGGATCCTTTTTTTCCAAAACATAGGTCAGATGTCAGCCACTACACCACAACACTTTCTCTCAGAGAAATACAGTCACTGTTAAGCATGTAATGCAACTAAAAAGTGTTTTTATTAGCATTAATCTGCAGATAATCATGTTAACCATGTATCATTTGGTCTACAAACAAAAGAAAAAAGGGTGTACAGAAGAAACAGGAAACAACTGCTCAATCCGCATTGCTGAAAAAAATATAAAAAAAAAGGTTCCTAAACTGTTCATCATGCTGTAAGTATAATGAGTATTTAAGTATTTATATGAGCTTTTCTGTTTCCAGGGTGGAGTGATTGTACAGCAGGCATCTTTATTGAATTTAATAAATAAGAACTGGGCGAACAAGTTTGAATTTATTTTAGATTTGAGAAGCTCAAACATATATATACCCTGACTAATATTTGGTTGAATCATCAAGTTGCACCTTGACCAGACATAGAAAACATACATGTATGGAGAGGAAAAAAAACCCCCAAAAAAAACCCCAAATGTCATGCTGTTTAAAGCATCATTGCACCTGCTAATATGACCTGAAGACTCACCTGCACTTGCAGAAAGGAAGTCTCCTGACGAACGGCCACAGGCAGCTATACAGGCCGACAGAGGAGGCCAAACAGAAGATCCTGATGACCCAAATGGCTAAATGGTGAAGAAACAGCAGACAGAAGCTGAGTAGATATTATTGTGTGAGGAAACCCGCTTCTTTGGCATCCCCCCTCCTTAAACGCCTGAATAGTGGTATTGCTTTCCCTTTTGTACACTATTGCCATCCGCAGCTTTCAGCAGCTTTTTAATCTGTTTAAAGGCGAAATGTTATCTCAACCATTGAGCTCTTTATCAGTGCAGCCATTCTTTACACTCAGCAGGGTTTGACTCTGCTGCAGCTTAATGCTGGACAACAGGCAGCTCTGCGAGAGGAAATGATCTCTGAAGAATCTCAGTTTACCCTGGAGCTAAATGGAGAGGGGATTATTAATTTAATAAGATTAGTTTAGAAGCTTGGACTTTTTAACCAGAAATCCTGTTTTATTCATTTTGTGTATTTTCTTGTTGCACCTGTGTGTGATGTGCATTTTTTTTTTAATTTCTTCACCCTTCTTCTTTTCTTTTTTTTAAATTTTTTTTATTCACAACCTATTCTACTGTATTGCATTTTAATCTTTACTTATTTTGCTCATTTAATTGATTTTATTTAATTGAGCTCCTTTCTATTATTTGGTTTTTACCTTAAGTGAAACTTGCTTTGTTGTATTGTCTTTTTATTTTGTTAGCAAAATATTTATTCTACTTATTTAAGCTAGTTTTTAAAGGAGGAAAGAGGCAGCAATGTTAAAGGCTTAAGACACTGATGGTGAGCCTTCTATCATCATGGACAAAGTGAGACTGCACAACAACAGGATTAACAAGCCAGCGGACTTTATGAGTTCAGTGCCAGTGATTCCTCCTGTGCATTTTTGTCTAATTTTTCCTGGGGATTCTGGGGAATGGAGTCTAATAGACTAAGTTTCATCATCCGAGCGACATACAATGTGCTACCTTCCATAAATGTTAAAGAGGTACATATTTCTCAGCTGCAGTGAATAGATAGAATAAACTGTAGAAAACTAAACAGGAGAAAGAAGAAAACAATTTTAACATAAACCATTGACACACTCCGGGGCCTCCTTAAATGAGGGTGTCTAGTGATAATGGCCGAAACAACCGATGAATTCAAGGTCCACCACTGACGATGTGTCTAAATTTTAATGATTTAGATCAGATCTCTAACCCCTAAACCTAACCAAGGAAAAATGGCAGATTAGCTTGTGTAAAAGAACAAAAGTTGAGACACATAACGATGCGTGCCACTGGTAAAGTTTCTGGGATGCTTTTCCTCATAACACCCATCCCTCAAGATTTTCTCCATTAAAAGCAATGCATTGTCAGGAATTGTGACATCTAGTCCTTTACCAAATCAACTTGGCTTTTAAATTTATCAGCAAGAGAGCAACAATATAGGAAATAATAACCGTATTCTTAATATAAGGACCTTCAAATATAAGTAAATTCCTGGAGGGAGATAGCTGAAAGTATCAGAAGTGAGATTCAGAAACGTGTAAATAAGTTGTTTTTTTTTAAAAAAACGTGAGCGATAGTTATGTTTACCTCTAAAGAAAACTGACCACAACAAGTAGCATGGACCCCGGAGGGGAAAAAGTGCCAGCATTTTACTTGTTTCTATCTGCTGGCTCTGCATATAAAACACTGAGACACAACGAACCTCAGCTGCCGAAAACTATGCTGCACAAACATGTAAATGAGCTGTTATCAAGGATGTACTCAGGATGGGCCTGAGTGTGTTTAAGCATTAAGGTCCAGCTTGTTTGACTAACATAATTAACGTGCTGTGCCCGGGCGCGGTTCAGTTAGACTCGGTACAGTATGCATGTATCGCATTCCCCTGCACTTCCCTCTTTAAATATAACTCTGAAAGGAAAGCGTTCCACCGCTTTCATAATAAAGTCCCAAAAATCCACAAACTCATAAAACTCATCAGGCTCTGCAACAGTGTTTTAGTAAATCAGAGAGTGACTGTGAGAGAGGAGCTGCTGCCACGATAAATGTAAGCATCCTCTGGCACAGTGTGAGCACTGGGCAGCAGGAGGACAAGTGTCCCTAATCTGAGTAAGCTACTGCATACTGTAGATAAAAAGAATATAAACTTGCCAAGTGGTGAGGAGAAATTTGACGTTTAAATTAGTTAACAAATTTGACAATGAATGCCTAGTAAGTCCAGGAATTATCCATACAGGTGTTTCAGTCAAGAAAAACAAGGAAACCTGTAAGATCCAGTTAAAAGCTGCAGGCTTGAACTAAATCAGCTGCTCTGGAACCATTTTTTTGATTCTGACAGACTGTAAAAATAAGCATATCCTAAATTATCACTTCATTTGATTCTAAACTACAAAGACTTATTGCAAAAGCACTATTCTGTGTTTCTTTGCACTTCTGGAGGTTTTTTTTCAAATATGTTTTGCTCTGGGGTTTTTTGCACATAGCAAATGCTGGGTTTTTTTTAGGTTTTGTCACATCTTTTGCACAACCTCAATCCAGAGAAAATCCCTACTGAGTGATGCCAAGCCACAGTGAGTAAGGACAAATTAAAAGCTTTGAGAGGCTAACCGCCCCCAACACACTAATGAATACTGGGCAGAAGGAACTGAAACCACCATCATTTACTGGTCCCATAAACGTGCTTCTGATCTAACGGATTTACTTATCTTTTAAATGTTTCCTTCAGCGCGACTAGTATAGCAGCGGTTATATTCTGTGTACGCTTCGTGAGTATCTGCATCGTACCCAGGTGGTCGTAGAAAAAGTAGAGTAGCACCAGCATGTTGCAGCACATGACGACGAACACACAAATCATGATCGGGGTTACGTCTACGGTCTCCTCCTCTTGCTTCTCGGCACTGTCGTCCCGCTTGTGCTTCATGTACCGTCTGCAGGAGGACAAGCAACAGTGAGTAACTCTAAAGACAAAGAGTATATATGCACACATGTTTGCTCTGAGGTTTTGTCTTTCACAGTTTAAATTGCAGATTATGGTCCAATTTTTGGTGATTTACCAAAACACACGGGATAACCATATTGCCATTAAAAGTCTATATTTATAGTCATTTGGTCAGCTGGCTGGCATTCACTTCCATCCTGAGTTGAAAACACGCACTTATGATTCCAAATGTTTTTTTCTCTGCGGTGCTGTGCGTCAGCGACCCCATCTCACTCTGCCCTCCTTCACCTCAGAAAACTCCAAAAAGATGGACTCAGATTGGGTTAAGCCAATGAGTCACCCATACTCAAATAAACAGTGCTGCCCTTTACTGGAGTCGCAGCGGTAAGATGCAGATTGCTTGGTTTGAAAAGAAGAGAAGCACTCATAGTCACCCAAAAGGAAAGTCTTTTGCAATCATGCACTTGTATTTTGTTGCCAGGAAAACTCTGACCAATGTTCTCTGGAGCCTCTCCTGATGAAATATCTCTAATGTAAATTTAGCAGCTGTGACTAAATGCATCGTTTGCACTCGCTGAAGGAATTTCTTTGATACCCAATACTTGCATCATTGTATTTTTGTATCACTTAATGCAGTTTTGTTCAACCCAGACTAAAATCACTTTTTAACTTTAATTTTTTCAAAAAGTCTGAAGACTCTGGCTGTCATACTGCAGTACAGCTGAAACTCTGGCACTATGGGATTTTCCACTGAATCGCTTCCACAGAAGCACTTTTACAGGACCAGTAAACTTACTTCTTGCTGTCTCTGCTGCCGGCCCAGTAGCCTCCAATAGCCACCGTTCCTACTGCCATCAAGAAGATGATCACCATGTTATAGTCTAACACTGGCTCATTGGGTGCGTACATGGCAACCAGCTGTCCTTTACCAAAGGTCTGCAGAAGTAAGAAACAGCATTAGATTTGCCAGATGTAAACCTTCAAAACTAAATAAAACATGCCAAAATAAGGAAGTGCTACTTAATTTATATTAAATAAACCCTAATTTAGCCTACTTCAAAGTAAATTAACTCTGATGTTGTGATTATTAAGCCCAATTCAGTGCATAACACTGGACTGAAGTCATGAATTGCAACAAGAGTCTCCGTCATGGTGCTCAGTTTTAGATACACTTTTCCACTTAGATACATTTTCCACTCCACTGGAAAACCAAATCTGTCTGAAAAGGAGCATTTAACCAGTTGCTTCCAGCTGGATAGACGTGCCATGTGCCGTTTAACGTGTATCAAAGCTTAAACCATCTCTAAGTAGTTCCCTGAACATGTCAATTAGTTCACTGTACTCAAATGGACTCTGCAGTCACCAGATCTCAATCCAGCACAGCACCTTTAGGATGTGGTACAATAAGAGATTCTCATTGTGGACATGGAGTTAACAAATCTGCAGGAACTGTGTGACACCATCATGTCAATAGGGAGCAAAATCTCTGAGAAATACTTCCAGCACTTTCTTGAATCTGTACCATGAAGAATTACAGATGAAAGGTAGTTTACCCTGCTACAAACAAGGTACACATATTAAAGCATCCAGTGACACAAAATTAGAAAAGGGATAATAAGGCTAGGTGTAGAGCTTCTAAAGTGAGAAGAGAAATATCGGTTGGTAGCTGACTTCTCACCTTGCTTATATCCAGCATATCAGAGTAGCTGAGCAGTGCCACAGGAATGTCAATCTCTTCATACTGAGTCTTGTTTCCTGCTGGTGGCGTCTGTAGGAAAAAAACAAAAACAAAGCACATTTCTGATTTGTCATGAACCAAAAGACCTCTTTAATTCTGACACAGAATAGCCGTGAACAGCTGTCTCACCAGTCTGTCCTTGCTGACGATGAGCAGGCCCTTGGCACCATTAATCTGGGCCAGGCGAACTTTTTCATAGAAAGTGCAGTTCCCCCTCATCACCATGGGGATGCGGTTCGGGAAGCCTCCCTCTGGGACCTCAGAGGGTGAGCACAGGACCGATGTTGTCAAGTCATGGATCTGGAGACGTGACTTTGAAACAAAAGGTTTGGAAATACTCTCAGAGGTTTCAAAATACAGTAATTAGAGATGTTGTTTGTTTTAATTAATTACTCATTATGTACTGTTTATTATTCTTTAATGGAACAAAGAAGCTTCCTCATTTAGTGTAAAAAGGGGCAGCCTTGTCATAAAAATCCTTGTACTTCTAAAAGACTAGTTTGTTTCTCATTATACACCTATATCTAAAAATAAAACCCTTGTGCGAGTATGACCTAAAAACTGTAATTCTTGTATTTATTTCTTGTTGCGTGTATTACTACAGCCTAATATATTCTGATATTCATAAAAGCTCTCCAGTGATTGCGCTTGGTTCAGAAAATAGCAGCTTGACTCGTAACAGGCAATAAAAGTAGAGATTACATTTCAGCATCCTGTCTTCCTAAGAAAAGATGTTGTACACTGAGGCTTAGGCTCATTGCACTGTGTGGCCTTGAAGCAATTTGAAATTTTACAATGTTTGGTTAACCCCCTTTGTTAGTGACTTACTGCCTTATTGAGATCCTGAGGTAAACGTGCCCACTGGGAGTTGAAGAATATGCAGTAATCCTTTCCTTTGCTCTTGCCCTTGTCACTGAAATGGGCCATGCCGTACTCTCCCACCACCTGTCAACATAAAAACAATGGCTGGATCACCTCACATGTCCAAGAAAAAGTAAATTTTTATATCACAGAGTTGAGCTTTAATTCTAGCAGCCCTATAAATGTTGATGTTTCGCTGTCTGCATCAATTTGAGACGGCATAAAAATTCCCAAAAGCCTTTTTGAAGCTATGATTAAACTATTCGTACCCCTTTTGGTTGGTTTTTGTATACCCTTCTTCATATAAACGGGGTGCACACAATATGATAAACCCTTGAATGTATAATAAAGCTCAGCAGCACTACAAACTACAGCCTTCAGTGTATAAAAAGGCTCAGTAACAGCTCCTACAATCAGGTTTCCTGCAATGTACTTGAAGTTAGATTTAAGGCTTTTAAACACATTTCTCAAATACCTCTTCTTTCTTTCCCTTTCCACATGACAATCTTTAGCTAGATTAATAGTTTTTTCACTGCACACAAAACAGAAAAACCTGTTCAAATTTTAGTTTGGCTCACTCAGTTATATTGTTTCTGGCAGTGACTTGAAATATTTCACTCTAATTTCAGACGCGTTCCATATTTTACAGCACTACCGCAGTCCAAGTTGTCAGTGGTTAACATCATATTCGCTGTCTCGTAATCACTGTGAAGATAAACCCAGTGTCGGTTTCAGGTGAGGTGAATCGATCGGCAATAATCCCCCTTCATTAATGCTGCATCAAAAGGTGAGTAATGTGTGGGTTTCCAGGGCCCACAGAAATCTCCGCAAGCTAACAGACATAGCATCTATGCTAACGTTCCCGGAAAACCGCAGGGAAATAAAAACCCAAATCCTTGTTTGTTAACCGCAGGCTGCTACCCGACAAAGACGCACTGAGGGACAGTTTTCGAAGAAACAGACGTGGTCTCTCTCACCTTCTGGATGAGAAAAGCGACCCAAATCAGTGTTTCGGGGACCCTCATGATGTCTAGCTTGTTGTTGTCTCCCCCATCGACCAACCAACCAACCAACCAACCAAACGTTTGGCTCGAACTCCCTGCACGAGAGCCCCCAACGCCGGCTCTAACAGGCCGCGCCCATTTCGTTCGGCTAGGCTTTTTAATTGGATGATATTGTCATGTGCCACTTTGCTGTTTGGATAAAAACAGACTGCCAAAAAATGATAAAAATAGTAGCGGTCACTGACAGCACGAAAAGCCTAACATGCTTTACAGTTAAACATAATTGTTAAAAACCCCCAACAACAAATAAAAGAGGAGTTATAGAGTTTGGTTAAAAGTTTTTCAATTCATTAGCATGAATACATAAATCAATCAATCAATCAATCAATAAATAAAGGGAAACTATTTTTCTTCAATTTTTCTTCATTTTCTTCAAAAATGCAAAACTCTTAGAATGTTTAACCCAAAATTTCTAAAAAAAAAAAAAAAAA